CTGGATATTGTCGCCAAGAGGGTAGGGTACATTGAAGGAAGGATATGAAAGAGGAAAACGATCGGGTGACACGACGTACCGACTGTCAAAAGGCCATGAGTTCGCACGTGATGCGTACGTCGGGTTCATGGTTCCAACTGTCAGCGCCCAACGACGGAGGCCAATTGTGTATTTGGACGAGAGCCTCATCCACCATCACTACTTTGGACATGCGGACAGCTTGTTTGATCCCATTGACCACGAAACAACGAAACCTAAGCATAAAGGACGGCGTTACTGCGTCATTGCCGCAATCCTTGATGATGGATCAGACGTGAGTCATCTGCTTGGCTTGGAGAAGAAGGATGGCAAAGAAGTGAAAGATTACCATGCTATGTTCAATCACAAGTACTTCACTGCCTGGTTCACAAGACTAATGGACGAAGTCGAAGATTTGGGTTGGAGGTCAGCGGTTTTCGTCATGGACAATGCAAAGTACCACAAGGTGAAACCAGAGTCAACTTCAAAAGGGAACTGGAAAAAGGAGGACATGTACCAAGCCTGTTTGAAGTATGGTCTCAATGATGTGTCCCAGTCGGATCTCAAATCTGTTATCTGGGCCAAGTTGAAGAAGTATGGACGAGAACATCGTGCCTGTGGTTGTGAGTATGGCCCACCGTCGTGGTCACCATGTCGTCTACACTGCTCCGGGGTTTTCTGAGCTCCAACCAATTGATATGATATGGGCGAATTGAAAGGGACAATGGGTCGTGCTTACACCTCCAAGACGACCTTCAAGGACGTGTTGGAACGTCTGGAAAAGGCCTTTTGGGAATTGGACACTGCTACGATTTGTCAAACCATCCAAAACTCCACATGTAAGCTACTTTCACTGGATAGTGCCCTCCGGAATGCTGAAGTGACTGCCGACATCACAGAAATTGATCAAAGTGACTGTGGAAGTGACTCCTCACTGTCAAGTGGTATGTCAAGTGGGGATGAGAACAGTGATGATACTTCTGACAGCTAATGACTCTGTAATGTAATTTTTGCATTTATATCATTCCGAAGAGGTAAACCAGTTGTTGAAAATAAAGCTCTCCTCCATGAAATAGTTATTACGTTTTGGAATTTGAGCTGGCGCTCTCGATGATCGCGCACTATTAATTACACCACAGTATGGATTCTGGCTAGGGGGTCTGACATTTGAGATTTGTGAAATTTTATGTTCTCCTGCTCAGAAACAACCCTAACCACACATGTATTCCCTATCAACCTACGCCACGACAATTTCGGGTTTTGGAATTGCCTTCTTGAATGCACTCTTGACGACTT